GCCCCTTCCCCTTTTTGTTCCCCTCCCCTCTAAAAGGGGTTTTTTTTTCCCCCCCCCAGGGTGGTTGTGTGGGAGGGTCCCCGGGAAAGGGGTTTTTTCCCCGGGCTTTTGGGTCGGGGGGGCCTGGGGGGGCCCGGGTGCCTAACAAAAAATTGGGGTGGCCCAGGGGATTTCCCCCCCCCCCCCCCTCCCCCCCGGGGGCATCTCCCCGCCCCGCCCCCTGGCGCATCTACCCTCCCCGACCCCTGCGCGGCGCCGAGCGGAACGAAACGATCCTCGCCGCGTCCGGTGAGGCTGCTCCGCTGCCGGAACCACGTCGCCTCCGGTGTCCCCACGAACTCGCCGCTCGCCTTGAGCGGCGTGCCGAGGAGCCCCCCCACCACTTTGAGGTTGTCCACGTACCGGATCCCCTCGTCCTCGTCCTCATCGGGCGGCGCGGGCAGCTGCGTGAAGACGCTGGGCTGGCTGGCGACCGGAGGCAGGTGCACCTGCCTCACCGACTGCTGGCGCGCAAGCGCCTGGTCCAGGTGCGGCGGCGGAGCTCCCGGTGCGGACATCTGCATCGGCGGCGGAGGAGGCGGAGGAGCTCTGTGCCCGCCCTCGGAGACGGAGGCCGCAGTGCCGGCGGCGACCGCGGCGGCAGAGGTGGCGGCCACGGGTCCCAGGGCGTCTCCAGCACTCTCCGCCGCGACGCTCTCGTAGTTTTGAATCACGGTGAGCACCTGCAGATAGGGAGCGGCCAGGGGGGAGACGCCTCGGCCTCGGTCGGGCGCCGGGCGGCAGCGGGCGGGCGGAGGAGGAGCGCACCGCGTCCTGATGCTGCTGCGCCGCGGAGGTCAGCGCCTCGGAGATTGTGTTGACGCGCACCAGCTCCTTCTTGAGCCGATCGCGCACCTGCTGCAGCTCGCTCTGCTGCACGAGAAAGACGGAAGAGATCTGGAGCAGCTGCTGCGTCATCGTCTCGAGGATGGCGTCCTGCGAGAGGCAACGGCGGCGAGAGTGGGGCGGGCGGCGGCGAGCGAGCGAGCGGGCGGCGTAGGGTGGGCCGCACATCCGCACGCCGGCCGGCGACAGCAGCCATTGTGGCACACAACACAGGTACCGCACGCCGAAAGCACTCCGCAGAGAGCGCCGACAGAGCGCAAAGCGCCTGTTCACGGCATGGACGTGACAACACCGAACGTACCGAGCGTAGAGCCGAGCGGAAGGAAGCCGGGGAAGACGACTCCGAGGAGGACGAACCAGTGGAAATCCCGTTGTCAGCTGTCACGATGCACCCGAAGGGGGCCCCAGCGCCGGCATCATCCGTGGAGGCACAAGTGTTCGAAGAGAGAGAGAGAGAGAGAGTGGACCTGAGCAACGATATGACTTGGCGGCAAATGATCGCAGTGGGCGTCAGAAGAGTCGTCCTTGCGCGAGGAGAGCTCGATAGACTCGAGGGGCCAAGATATGCCGCGACGCGCGAGGAGGGCGGAGTTGCGCCGAAAGGCGAAAGAAGCCGCGAGAACAAGGGACCGGCAGGCGGCGGCGGCGTCGCAGGACGAGGCAGAGGAGAGCGACGCGACAGAGGAAGAAGCGACAAGGGAGAGAACGACGAGAGTGGGACGACCGCGAGGTGGCATGAAGGTTGCAGCGAGAATCGGCGAGAGACTGCGAAGGGAGATAGGAAGAGGCAGACGCCCAAGGGTGGGCGACGGCTAGAGCAACACACCTTCCAGTGAAATCCCTGTGTGGTGGCGGCGTGCCGTCCTCCCATCCCTCCCCTGGGTTGTCCGTTTTCTTTCTTTCGACACTTAAAATCAGCGAGAATCGGCGAGGGACTGCGAAGGGAGATAGAAGGAGGCAGACGACCAAGGGTTAGGGTGGGCGACGGCTAGCACCACACTCCTCTCCTTAAAATCCCTGTGTGGTGGCGGCGTGCCGTCCTCCCATCCCTCCCTTGGGTGCTCTGTTTTCTTTCTTTTCTTTCGACACTTAAAATCCCTGTGCGGTGGCAGCGTGCCGTCCTCCCATCCCTCCCCCTCCCTTGGGTGGTCTGTTTTCTTTCTTTCTTTTTTACGACACTAGGCACGGGCGCGCGCACTGCCATCACTGGCACTAACACAGGTACACCGTAAAAAAATAAAATAAGCAACGCTGGCGTTCCTACAAACAAACAACAAAAGTGAGTGTTAGATTTGTTTGGTATTGCTAAAAATCTCTCTCTCTCTCCTACAAGGGGGCTAGCCCATCTGACCTCCGTCTCTCTCTCTCTCTCTCTCTCTCTCTCTCTCTCTCTCTCTCTCTCTCTCTCTCTCTCTCTCTCAGCTCTCTCTCATGCTGCTACTAGCTAGAGGTAGGTAGGTAGGAAGGTGAAGAACAGCCAGCAAGATCCGGTGCCGAGTTGCACCCCCACCGCGACTCAACACGTCAACCCCCGAGGCACCGGAGTCATCAGACCACAAGTGTGGCAGATTCGATATTATAATCAACAACTTTCGTGGAGCCCGCCCGCGCGATTGCAGCAACATGGCGGCTCCGTACCCGGTCAGTGAGGAAGTGGGGCCAAAGGCTGCCGTGTGCGAGGAGGTCGAGACCCGCCCCAGCAAGCTGGGCGTGTGCGAGGAGGTCGAGACCCGCAAGCTGGGCATGTCCAAGCCCCTCGACCTCTCCGCCTTCTCCTGGCTGCAGTGGTCGCCGCCCGCAGACTCCAAGTGCGGCCAGACTCTCTCCCGCTGCTTCCCCGGCGCCCTTCCCGGCCCGGCGGTGGTCGCTCGCACCAAGCTGCTCGAGAAGATGTACGGGATGACGCCGGAGAACACCATCTATGGGCAGTCCATCTGTCCGGACGAGATCAACAATGAGAAGGGCGACCTGGCGACGCTGATGGCGGACCACTGGGGCGAGTGCTTCCCGATGGGTGGCATCGGCGGCGCACCGTTCGTCGGCAAGACCGGCTTCGGCGCCTTCTCGCACCACGTGCCAGATGACGGCCACATCGTCATTCTGTTTGGCCCGCACATCGCCATCTCGGACGGAGGCGAGCTGGGAAAGTACCTGCGAGAGGGGCAGGTGCACGAGTCGACCGCATGTGGGGCTGTGCTTGGCGCGTACGCCGCCTGCAAGTGCGGCCAGGCGGGCGAGTTTGACGAGATGGATATGCAGCAGTCGTGGCTGAAACAGCAGGTCAACCGCCGCTACGTCGAGATCAAATCCGCGGACGACCAGCTACTTGCGCTGATCCGTGTCGCATACGAGGCGGTCAAGGAGAAGCTCCTCGGCATCATCAACACCGACTTCGGCAGCGGCAAGCTCATCCTGATCGGCGGCATCCAGCTCAACATGCCCAAGCCGTGGGAGGATCACTTCCAGCCGCTCTACTACAAGGTGCACCAGAAGGGGGTCGATCCCGTCGACATCCTCGACGACATGTGCTCCTTTTAAGGCTGGGCTAGCGTGAGCGATGCGCTGCCTCTAAGCAGGTCGGTGCTCTGGGTGGTCTGTTTCGGTGAATTGGCGGCGTGTGGGGCAACCCCTCTCAACACATAGGACAGAGAGGCGCGTGATCGTGTGTGAGCTGTGGGGGTTGGCCCTGGTTCGTCGTGCATCGATGTTAAACACTCTGCCGCTCTTTCTCCCGGTCTCTCCACTTAAACAGAGAACACTGGGGGTGTGTGGGGGGGGGGGGACGGACAAAGCAAAACAAATCAGTACCGGTAGAAGCTATAGACTAAGGTATAGAACCCCGGGGCACAACATAAATTAAAGCCGTACGCGACTCACAACACCAACGAGGGAGACGGGGCGGGGCTGAGTTTAGGAAGTGGCAAGCGTGAGAATTCCCTCGCCCACCACGCCCCCGGCTACACACCGGGGGGGCCGGCTGCGGGCAACCAAACGCCCCTTTTGCCAAAGGCTCGGACAGAGGCTAGCCCCCTGGGACGGCGAAGGTCGCGCCCTTTCGGTGCTCGTTCAGGTTGACTGGTTCATTGTCGAGCGACAGACGCGAATAGATAGAGATTTGGTCGATTTGGCCGGAGTGGCTGCACAGCTTGAGCGAGGATCCAACCTGCGGCGCGCAGTTGACGATGTGGACCGCCCGCCCGTCTACAACCTCTGCGAGCCGGTTGATCAACTCCTCACCCCCGGTGAACTCGCACGTCGGAACGGCGTGCGCATCGATGATGATGGCCTCGCTTCCCCGAGATTGCTTCAGCTGCGACGCGAAATCGTCGATTCGGAGCATCGACAAGAAGTTGATGGGTCCGGAGAGCTTCCAGATGTGGGCGTTGACGTCGATACTGAGCTTCTGGCTGTTTGTGTCGACCACGCGCATGCTCTGAGTCTTGGCTGCGCCGGTGACCTTGTCCATGGTGCCCATGAAGAGCGCCACATCCTGGGCCATGGGCGAAGTGGTGGTCGTTGTTGGCAGCCCAGTCTGCGCCAGCAGCGGAGAAGACGCGAAATCATGTTGCGCGTCCGCCAGGATCCCGCCTCGGCCTGCGGCCTCCCACAACGGGATGTCGAGGGCCTTGGCCATTCGGAAGTCGGCCAGCTGGTTGCTCAGGCGCATGCCATTCACCACGCTGTTCATCCCAACCGCGGCGACACATCCCATGCTGATGCCCTCCGCCAACCCGACCGTGAGCATGCCGACGCTTGTGACGGCAAACGGGACCGCATCAGTCGGCTGGATCTTGTAGCAGCGGACGAACTCGGCAGGGTTGAGCATGCCAATCGCAGAGGTGATCAGGACGCCCGAGAGGGCGGGGAGGGGGATAGTGGCAATCGTATCGGAGAGAAAGACGACGCTGCTAAAGATAAACCCCGACTGGACGAGCGAGGGCAGGCGGGTGCTTGCATGCATCTGCACGTTGACACTCGAGCGAGCGATGACTGAGGTGACTGGCATGCCCGTAAAAGCTGCCGCGGTGACGTTGGCGAGGCCCTGTCCGATGAGCTCCTGATCGGCCGAGTGCTTGTATGAGGTCCTTCTCACCTTATCAACAGCGCTGCAGGAGATCAAAGACTCGACGGAGGTCATTGCGTAGATGAGACAGACGGTCCCAGCGAGAGAAGGAAGCGCCTCCACAGGTGGAATCGCGATGGACGCCATCTGAAAGACCTCGATGCCTGACGGAAGCGCGCCTATCGTTGAGACGTTGAGGCCAAGAAGACGCGTGGCGGCTGTCGACCCGCCCACTGCAACGAGCGCGGCCGGAATCCTGTTCATGAACTTAGGGAGGAGCAACATCGTGGCGCAGGTGCCAGCCGCAAGGCCCGCGGCTGCGGGGTTGACATCAGCAAGCTGCCCTGCGACTGTCTGCAAGAGCTCAACAGTGTTTAGCCCGGCCGGCGCCGCGATCCCGAGGGCTCTTGGCAGCTGGCCCGTGAAGATCATCGCCCCAATGCCAGCCGTGAATCCGGAGATGACGCAGACCTGGAGGAAAGCTCCAAGGTTATGCCGCAGGCGCTGTTGCGTTGTGCTACCATGGGCTTCTTCAGCACGCACCGGCACAAGCTTTGTGACGACACCCATTCGAGTGACGCCCGAGAGCACCTGGAGCCCGCCGCAGCAGAGCGTGATGAAGGGGAGCGCGCCGAGCCCGTGAACCTGGACAGCCTCACAGACGAGCAGACTGATGGCTGCTGCCGGCCTGCGATGAGGGGGCGTGCGGTTAGCTGTAGCCACTGCCGCGGGTTGCGCGCGTGCATATCGCATGAGCGAGTCACATCTAGATTGCTCGCCCAGTGATGGCCAGCGTCGTACCGCCCATCAGGCCGCCCACCACGCCTGCCACCGCCGCAGTCGTCAGGCCAACCTCCGGAGGAACGCCGCTGGCCAACGCAATCGCGAGAGAGAGAGGAACCGCAACGCACCCCACGGTGAGGCCAGCAGAAATGTCTTGCACCAGAGTGTCAGGCCGCAGCATTTTTTTCCACTCTGGCAAGAGCGACCGCACGCCAAGGTCTGCAATGATGCCGCGTCGCGGCGCCGTCCTCATCGCCTCCGCGGCAACATCAGAGGCCAATGAGCTCTTGGCGACGGACGGGGGGCGATTGCGCAGCAGCGAGCCCCACGGCAGCGCCCTGGGTCGGACACGCATGTGTGCAAAGCCCAGGGCCCGCCGGGGGGCCTTTCTGAGCGTCATCGGCGAGATAGATTCTACTTCTGATGATTGCGATGCGGTGTTGTTGGCCCGCCGTCGGTCGCGGGCTCGGTGATCGCGCCGGCTGGACACCACTGAGACGGCCGTTCCAGCCATTTGAACGCGACCTTCGGGGGCGAAGACATGCACATGCACATGCACATGCACATGCACATGCCATGCACGATGGATGGGCTCCATGGCTCAGACTGGACTCCTCATGGTCCCTTCGGATGCCCTAGGCCACACCTGGGCCTTACTGGGGGTTCTAAGGGCCGGGCAGGGTTTGCCCTTAAGCTAAAAGTACGTACCTCGAGGTACAAAAAAAAGACAACAGAGGGGGAGGCCAGACCGGGAAGCCTCGAGGGGTGACGTCGAGTGAGGATGTACGTCGTGTGCGTGTCTGGTGTTTATTAGCTCCGAGTAGAGGGGGCGCTCCGCTGCTAGGGGAAACCTGGAGCGCGGACTAACCCTCGGAGACCCGTGTTTACTTTACGGCCCTTTCCCTGCGAACGCGCACCCCCTGGGCTAGGGCTCTCTTGCCCGCAACCCGATGCCAATCATCCGGCCCGCTGGGTGCGCTTCTCAGCTCCCCGGCCCTGGGTGTGCGGTTGCCGAATGCACTCCAAGTGCTCCAAGAGGCGTAGGAGCAAGGAGGGCCGGGGAGAAGCCGCGGTATCCGCGGTAAGCCGTCAAAAGCCACCCCACAAAAGCCGCGAGCCTCCGTTACGCGACGCGGCAGCAGGACACAGCAACTCGAAGTAAGCTAAACAAGCTCGAACGGCCGGTCGTCGTACTCGTGGTACTGCACGAGCGGCACCGAGGCTGCCTCCGGGTAGCGCTGCACATATTGTGTGTGTAGCTCGCGTGCGTGCGAGAGCTCCTCCTACAGGGCAAACGGAGTGAGGTCAGGTGGTAAAAAAGCCTCCTCCGCACCTTTGTTCAGCCGCGCAAGGTCCGGGGGCATCCCCGCATCTGTACGTCCCGCGGGGATTCCCAGGGGCCTATCCCCAAGGGCTATCCCCAACCAGGTGCTATCCTCAGGGGCTACGCCCCGTTGAACGTGGGAGGGCTCCAGAGCGCATGGGCGAGCAGTGTGCCTCGGAACGGTCCGAGGCAACCAGGAAGGCGAGGATGAGCGGCGGGCGCGGCGTCTCGTAGCCGGTGCCGTCAAAAACCACCTCGTTCCAGCTGAAGGGGTTGTGCTGCGCCTGCAGCACTAGCATGCGCGACAGATGCCTCGGCCGGTACGCGCATCGCCACCCCTGCCAGACGTCGGACCACTCGTCGCACCAGCCAGGCCCACATCCCGCGGCGCACTCGCCGCCCGACTCCCATCCCATCGAGGTGAGCGGGAAGCGCGGGTCGCCGCTGTCCTGCTCGGCGGAACCGCAGACCTTCGCATTGGTGCGGCCGTCGCTCGGGTAGCTGCATCGCAATCGCTCCTGCAGCGCCGCCGGAGAGAGCACGAGCCCAACCTAAAGGGCATGTGAGAGGCCGGTGTGCAGAGCGCGGCGGTGCGTGGCAGGCGAGGGAGATGAAAGGTCTCTCGGAAGTGTCGCGGACCCGCGAGGAGCGGCACTGCGGCATCGGCTCGCACGCGTTGCGGCCACCCTTGAGAAATATGCGGTGGTGCCCGCGCCCGATGAGCGAGGTGGAGATCATCGGCCGCAGCTGGCAATCGGATCGCTCGCACATGTGCACTGGTAGGCCCGCGCCTTAGACATGCGGGGAGCGGCTAGCTGAGTGAGAGAGCATCGTGCGGTGTGTGGGGGCACGCGCATGTCCACCTTGGAGCTGCACACCCACGTCAGCTTTTGAGAGAGCAAACCGGCCGTTGAGCATCGAGACGGCGGCCAGCTGTCCGTTGCGAGCAGCGTCGGCGATTGGTCGGAAGAACGCGTCTGGCTCGCACACGAAACTGTCGCCCGCCGTGCATCGCCCCGCCGCGGCATCGTACTTGCACCGGGTGATGTGCCAGTGCAAACCTGATGATGAATCACGCCACGCCTTGTCGCAGGCAACCGCGAGCGCCGCTGCCGTCTCGCCGTCGACGCTGAGCACGCGGATGCATGATTGTTTCCGCTGGATATCGGATAGTTGTCGGTGTTAGGTGTGTGCGAGCAGATCTCTCGGCGATATCTCGGCTAGATCTCGCCGTCGCCCGCCGCGGGGAGGGTGCAAGGCTCCTCGTGGCACTCGGTGAAGAGCGCGGCCGAGCAGGCCGCCAGCATCTCAGAGGCTGGCGCGTGGCTAACCTCGGCGCAGGAGGCACGGGATCGGTCGGCGCGCAAGTTGTGGGCGCCCGCCAGCGAGGCACAGGGACCCGATAGAGGCGACGGAGACGGCGGCGGCGATGTCGGCTGCGGAAGTGGTGGAGGTGCGGGCGGGAGCGGCGGCGGTACTCGTAGCTGCGGGGGCGGCGGCAGCGACAGCGGCGGTGGTGGTGGCGGCGACACCGGAGGCAGCCGCATCTTGACCTGACCAACCACTGCTGCGGAGCCAAGGAGTGCGACCGTGAAGCCCAGCAGCGAAAACCTGCACGCATGCAGCCGACGTCAAGCGGACGTGGCATGGAGGAGAAGTGTCTCTGAAGTGTCTCACACCAGGCGAGGAAAGTTAGCTGCTTGAGCTCTGCTGGCGTGACCTTGCACTGCACAACGCGGCGGAGGATTTGGAGCAGAGAGTCCGACCGGCCCTCTGTCACGTCCGCTCGCGTGCGCCAGCGGACGCGCGGGAAAGGCAGTCCTCTGGCGTTGACTGACGGGAGAGGAAGGGGCGGCGGCGTGAGAGGTGGCGGTGGGCCTGGACGAGTGGCGCGAGAATGCGAATTCAATCGTGCGTGCTGTGCTTGTGCTGCTCACCTTCCTCCATGTCCAGCGCCTCCTCATCCACCAATCTGACAGGACGCTGCCTTGCCGCCGCCGTAAGGATAGCACTCCGCCAGCGCCGCTTCGCCGCAGAAGCCAGCTCAATGTGCGGCGACTCCTCGCCGGGTTGCTTCATGGGCCGCCTGGAGTTAGCTCAAGCTGCCGGGCGTGCCAGTGCCAGAACCACTCGGGGGCGGGCAGCGGCGGGCACCTGCGCGCAAGTTCTTTTCCTTGGAAAATTTTTGAAAGAAAGAAATAAAGAAAACAGACAAACCAAGGGAGGGATGAGAGGAATTTTTTGAGGATTTTGGCGATTTTTTTTATCACGTCTTTCGGTAATGCTGTTCGTTGGTGCGCCTTTCGGTGCGGCACCAAAGTATGCCGTGTGCCAGGGCTCAGTTTGCACCAAGCACGGCTCGGCGCTCGTGCTGGAGGCCGCCGAGGGCCTCGCGTGCTCTACCGAAGGGGTCGATGTGGTGGGAAAGTCGTGCCTGGGCGCGTGCAGGGGCGGCCGCCTCGAAGGCGGCATCGCCACGTTCGTCTCGTCCACGAGATCCAGTGTGATCCTCGAGCGGTGCGACGAGCCTTGCGCGGCGCTCACGCAGGCTCGCACTGCTATCGTGCGCGATGTCGGTGTCGCGCCGGCTGAGCTGTTTGGTGCGGCGCTCGAGAGCAAGCTGGAGGGCGACCGTGCCGCGGCGAACGGCGAGGCGGAAGCTGCACGAGCGGCCTACTCGGCTGCCCTCGCCGCGCTCGGGAAGCTGCAGCGGGAGAGCTGCGGGGCGGCAGCGTTGGCCAGTGGTGCAGACATGTCTGCTTGGGCGGCAGCGCTGGCGGGTGGCGCGGCAGCGTTGGCAAGCGCTCCGCCGACGCACACGGGGTTGCCGCCGTCGCGCCTCGCGGCCGCTCGGGCGAAGGAGCGGGCGCGTGTGACTCCTGGCCGCGTGCGGTGGGCGTTTGAGGCGCTGGTTGGGCGCTGCCGCGCGAGCATCGCGCTGGCTAGCAGAGATTCCACGCTCGAGGACGCACGCGACGCGATTGCGCTTTGCCCGCTCGCGCCTGGCGGATGGGAGGCGCTGAGGGACGCGGCCGAAGCGGAGGGCGGGATCGGTGGGGCAGCACTCCGATCGCAGGCAGCGGCAGCGGCGGAAGCGAGAAGGCCGCGGTGAGTACACGCTCACACGCGGGCCGCCCCACGGTGCCGCCCACGGCCGCGGGGCAGCCGCCGCACCGCCGAGGACCCGAGGTGCGAGCGTGCGGCTGGGAGAGGATGGATGTCGCCTTGATGTCAAAAACGTACCAGGCGTCGCGCGTACAACCATGCGCGACCGCACAGTTGCGCCTCCGCCTGCGCGCCGGAACACACACACACCAACACTGACACACACGCCCGCGGTTTGGCACATAACCAATACACAAGGAGGGGCCCGGGCCGCACCAGAGAGCGCTAGTGGGACGCGTTTCGGCTTGCTGTCATGACACGAGATGCGCGTACGGTCTCTTCTCTCCGACCGCCCCGTTGGCGACGGCGGGCGCCGCAGCGGGAGCCTCCGTCTTGACCGCCGCCGCGGCGCCGCCCGCCTCCACCGGCTGCCTCCCCGCCTGCCGCGGCTCTGCAGGGGCTGCTGCTTGCTCTGTTCGCGCGTGCGCCGCCGCAGGGGCAGCTGCAGGGGCAGTTGCTGCGGGCGCGGCCGCCGCGGCCGGAGCCTCCGTCTTGACTGCTGCGGGAGCCTCCGCCTTGGCGGCGGCGGCCGCGTTTGCGGCGCCCTGTCGCGGGGAGAGGTGGCGTGCTTGGATCCGTCTCGGGATCCTCCTGTGCTACGCGGGGGCGAGGCGGAGGCCACTGCAGGGGCGACGGCAGCGCCCCGGCAGGGTGGCGACGGTAGAGGCCGGCTGGCGCGAGGCCGGCTGGCGCTCACCGACTCGCCGCCCCCGCCCTTGCGCTTATCGTCGTAGATGACGCGCAGGAGACGCATGGTCGCGTGGACCCCGTCCTCGTGCACCTGTAGTGAAGGGGACACTTCAGAGCTGCGGACACCCGCAGAGCTGCAAGACCCGCGCCGAGGGGGGCGGCGGCGGCGGCGGTGGCGCCCACCTCGAACGACTTGTGCAGATTCGGAAGCTGCACCGCCTTGCCTTGCCGAGTCAGTCGGTCGGCAGCCAGGGTGAGCGCCGCGGCGGCCACGAACCGCGGCGAGTACTGCGGCGGGGCAGGCGGTGGGCGCGGTCGGCACCATCGTCGCCGTGGGGCGCGGGGCGGTCACAAGGGCGGTCCCCCACATTCGGCGCTTTCGTGCGTGATCGCACCTGCAGGCATGCGGTGGTGCGGTACGAGTCGTTGATGAAGTTCCACGCAATCTGCGCCAGGTCGCGCGTCCCCGTGATCGACTTGACGTAGGCGAGCAGCGGCCGGTACGGGTGCTCGATGGAGAGATCAAACCCGATGGTTTGCAGCAGAATCCGCTCGGTGACGAGCACCTTCTCCTTGAGCTCGTGCACCTCGCGAGACTCGGGCTCGGGGACGCGGTAGTCCTTGACGTGCTTGTTCCAGTTCTTGAGCGCCTCCCCAACCACGTCCTTGAGCTTGCGCGGCGTCTCCTCCACCTTTGACGCCAGGAAGAGCGCTGTCGTCGAGAGGACAAAGCGCTCGTGGTGCTCGTACGACTTGAAGGCGTAGAAGCGGTGGTAAAAGACGAGCGCGGTCGCGATCGTCAGCTGCGGCCTGGGCGCGCGCGCGGCGGGGCGCTGAGCGCGCGGCGGTCCCCTGCTGCGCGCGCCATATATCTGCGCAGGCGCGCGCACAGCGCGCGCGTTCGGGGCCGCGCCGTGGGGAGGCGCGCACATTCTCAGGGCCCGGCCCGAGTCCTGGATGAACTGGCAAGAGCCGATCCGGTACTCCTCCTCCTTCTTTCTCGCCTGCACCTCGTCTCCGTTGGCGCGCTGCAGAAACCAGCTGCGCGACGGCGCATTCTCGACCGTCTGCCGGTCGAAGAGCCAGGGCGACTGGGCGGGAGCGCCGCGCGTGGGGCGTCCGCTGGCATCCGTTGCTGCCCCGGCGGCTCCGCTGGAGCCCGCACTGGCTGCGGCGCGCATTGCTGCACTGCAAGCAGTGGCGCGCCAGTGAAATAAAGAAATCGCGCAAACTATAACTGCGGTTTTTTGACGGGGCAAGATAAAAGGGTGGCTAAGGGCTCTGCCCGCAAGGCGCCCGCGTCGCAGACGCGGTACCATTGACAAATCTGCGATATACCCCCACACGAGCAAATAGCCAAAATGCTCAACACAGCGCAAAAACATGCTCGCTACCTCTCTCGCCCCGCGCCACGACGGCCACGCCGACTCGTCCCGCGATCTCGCTACTGCGACCTCGAGCCTGATCAATCCGCAGTCCATCCTTTGCTCGACGCTCAATCCAAATGCAGCCGAGTTCAAGCCCAACCAGTCATACGGCTTCGCCGCAAACCAGCTTTTCGACTCAACCAAGACCTCCTCTCTGCCAGCGCCGAACATCTCGGCGCCGCCACCATCGACTGGCCCTCAGATTGTCGACAAATCGACCTTGCCCGACACATTCGCGCCTCCTCCTCGCCTGGCGCCTGCCGTGCCGTCCTACGCACTCCACGCCGCACAACAGCACCCAACTCCGTCACATCCCACCATCCCCGAGTACGACCCACAATACCCATCCCTCCACGGCGACATCTCCACATCCAGTGGCGAGAGCGCCGACGGCAAGCGCCCCAAGATCGGAGGTCCCACGCTCATAGAGATTGCGCAGAGCTCGATGCTCAAGCAGGAGCTCCGACGCAACCCGGAAGACCTGCGCCTCCTCCTCTCCTACCTCCCACCCTTTGATGTGATCAAGGCTGGGTATCTGTCCTACGAATTCACCTTCCCAGTCAAGTCTGTCTTCGATTGCAAGGGTCGCCCTTACTTCCACAACGAGATCTACATCGGCCGCGGCGGCGACCCAAACAATCCGCTGTACCACGGGAACATGATCAAACCGCGAGATTTTCACAACGTCCTAGACGAGGAGCCAGACGGCCTCATCATCTGCATCCGCATACACGCTGGCGTCGTCCTCTCGGAGGAGTGGCGCTACCAACGCACGGTGCACGACCTCGCCGGCAAGTTGCCCGTCTGCCACTGCCCGACGGGCACGCCGTGCCACGGCTGGGCGGACGTCTGGATATCCAACGCTCGGCGCTCTGAGCTGACCTACTGGATTGACCTCATCCGCCTCTCACCGTACGGCCCGCGCGCCTCGGGATTCACAATCCGCGCACCGCCTCCAGACCCGCCCCTCCCGCCCATCCCCGAGAGTGCCTTCCTATCGTCAACCCACATTGCACTCTCCGCACTGTCGGTCGCCTTCGCCTTCGTGGGTTCACACAGCGGAGGAGATATCTACACCGGCCTCGCCCATGATCTCTACCTCTGGCTCACCTCCATGGTCTCTCCGCCCGCCCTCACCGACTCACGCTCCAAGATCATTACGCTGCTCACCGACACGGCCGCCCGAGAGCGATGCGGCACCGCCGCACGACTCGACACGGACGCCGTAAACCTCCTCGCGCTTTTCACTGTCCAGACTTGGCGCCGCGACATGGCACCGTACTTCCCGACCAAGGCGCCGACTCCGGCAGAGCTACCTCTCTCGGTCAAGTCGGAGATGGGCGACTCCATCTG